ATCCATCTGTGAGTTCCCTTTCCCCTTTACTGTTTAGCAATATTACTGTGGTAAAATACTGAGTAATGGGCACATGCTTCACTGTACTAATTCCCATGGACTTAGCTGCAATCAGACTCGACTTCAGACTCACTTCCCACATGCATACACAAGAACTGATGGCAAAACCAAACTCGTCAACTCAGAAGCAACAACGAACTTGCACTAAAACTCTGTTCAATACAACTGTACAACTCGCGGCTATGGCCGCTGAACATTGTCACAACCACCAGCCTCTCTCTCCCTCATGCACGCACGTACGAGGATCACCCTGAATGTCCACGCTGCACAGACACACTCTGTACACCCTGTCTACACCAACAGCTGGGTGGCTATGGCGGCCGTCGTCTTCCTCCTCCTAGCTATGGCCGCCAGTGTCTCTCTCACTGGTTCGCTATGGCCGCTTGTCTTCTTCACAGCCCACTTCCTCTTCCGGCACCTGCAGACCTCCACGCACAAGATACCAAGGCAGCTCTTCAGCATGGCACACAGGAGAATGAATGAATGGCTGGACACTGCCTGTTAATTTATACTTCTTCAGAGGTACCCGGGCCCTGCCTCAAAACGTGTGGGCCTAGGCCAAAACGTGTGAGGCCTGGGTCTGGAAGTTTCCAAACCGCGTGGGCCTGGTAGGCTCAAACCGCGTGGAACTCCTTGGACCCAAACGTGTACAGCAGCTGGGCCCCAAAACGCGTATTCTGGAATCTTCTCCAGAACGTGTGGGCCTCCCTGTTTCCTCACATGCAACCTCTACCCCTGGTACCTGCTGACTGGACTGGACTACAGGGTCCTACGGACTTCCAGAACCTACAGACCGACAAACAGACTCTAGGCCCTCTGTAAGCTCAGGTAGAGACTTCTAGAACAGACATTCCTAAGCCTAACGGTAACAGACCTAACTCCTAATCTACAGACCTAGGGATCGAATCTCACTCAGCACACAGGGTCAATGTACAAGGTACAGGGTAGGTCTAGGGATCGAATCTCACTCAGCACACTGGGTCAATGTACAGGGTTTGGGCACAGGTCTAGGGATCGAATCTCTGTGTCTGCAAATGTCGGGTCTACTGGGTGAAACCATTTCATAGCACAGCGAGGAAATCAAATTCTTGGTGGAAATCATCAACTTTATAACGTGTTAATAACAGCTCACGCTTTCTTAATGATCTGTGCTCCACTGTTGCTTCACTGCGGTTACAGTCAATGCTGTTAAGTGCGCCGATTTTGACTTTTCGTGGAGGATGTAGTTTGAGCTACGACATTGTTCATGCTAAAACGGCGGACACAGTGGGCGGGGTGGGGGAGGGGGGGAGAGAGAGGGAGAGAGGGAGAGAGAGAGAGAGAGAGAGAGAGAGAGAGAGAGAGAGAGAGAGAGAGAGAGAGAGAGAGAGAATATGTTGCAGATTTACAGTCTCTGTCTGTTGAGCACGCTGACGGGTAAGGAAAAGGAATTGTGTTTGAGACTAAGCTGGTCCCCGGATGGACCGGGGTCCTCCCGGTTGGACTGGCCGGTGGACCGTGCCGGTTCCCTCCCGGTCCGGCACATTTTCGCTGGGGGTTGAATTTTTTTTTCGGCGGCGCGGGGGTGTGCGGGAGGCCTTTTGGAGGCAGGCCGTGCCCCACAATTCCGAAACCGGGTCCCATAGGCCTGTTTCCTGTGAGGCCAAAAAGCGGTCGATCTTGGCCGCCGATCATCGCAGATCAGCGGCAAAGATCGGCCACTTTTTTAACCCGTTTGGGCGGGAATCGCGCAGCGGTGCAAGCGCACGGCGGGGGAAAATGCATCGCTTGTCCAACCCCTGTTCACCTCTTGCAGACGACGATGCCCCTCCGTGCGTTGCGCTCTCCCCCGCCATCGCCACGAACATCAACCTGCGCTACCCAGCCTCGCCATCAAGCACCCTGCCAGCCATCAACTGCCAGCCAGCCTCACCATCAAGCCCCTCGCCGACAAGCCACACCAGTGCCCTTTGTGAAGAAGGTTTGTGGCCCCCTGACTTGCTTCTTCTTCTTCTTCTTCTTCTTCTTCTTCTCCTTCTTCTTCTTCTTCGTCGTCCTTTTCTTCTTTCTACTTCTTCTTCTTCTTCGTTCTCTTTCTTCGATGTCTGCTCATCTTCGTCTCCTTCTTCTTCTTCTCCCGCTCGTCGTCTTCTTCTCTTCTTCGACTCCTGGTCTGGTTATCTTCTCCTCCTCCTCCTCCTCTTCTTCTTATTCTTCGACTTCTTTCACTCCTCTTCTGTTCCTCCCTTCCTCCTCTTCTTTGTCTCCTCCCTCCTCTCTTCTTCCTCCCCTCTTCCTCTTTGTCTGCTTTGTCCTCTCCCCTCCTTTTATCCTGTCTCTTATACACATCTAGATGTGTATAAGAGATAGTCTGTTCCCTCCCACGACGACCCCGCTGGTCGTCCATCATCCTCAACCCCCCCCCCAGCGATCTTCTCTTCCTTTCTTCTTCTTCTCCTTCTTTACTTCTCCTCCTCCTTTTGTTCTTCCTCTTCCGTTGTTTTCTTTCAAGTTCTTCTTTTCTTTCTCTTCTTCTTCTTGTGCTTTTTCCACTTTCTTCTCCTTCTCCTTCTCATCCTCCCGTGCTTCTTGTTCTTCTTCCACTCCTCTCCTTCCGATCTTCATCTCCTCCTCCTCCTCCTCTTCTTCTTCTCCGCTTCTCATCCTCTCTGTTAGCCATAGCCGTTTTTCTTTTTCTTTTTCACTCCCTCCTCCTCCTCCTCCTCCTTCTCTTCTTCTTCTTCTTCTTCTTCTTCTTCTTCTTCTTCTTCTTCTTCTTCTTCTTCCTCCTCCTCCTCCTCCTCCTCCTCCTCCTCCTCCTGCTCCTCATCTCTTAGCCATAGCCTTGTGGGCCTGCAAACCCTGAACGCAACACCCCCCTTACCACTCTCGACCTCGACCCCCCCCCACCCCCGCTGGCACACCCCTCAAAAAAATCTCCCAAGTTTTATTGTGGAATCAGACAGATCTCAGCAACCGCAGTCCGATTCTGCGAAGAAAAAATAATAATAAAAGAAATTGGCCATTGTTTTGGACCATCCGGTTTGCCGGTTGAACCCCCTTGGGCCGGTCCGGCCCCGGTTGGACTGGGCCAGTTCGACTGGCCGTTTGCCGGCCCAGCCCTGGTTTGAGAGGGAGGAACTGCTACATGACTCACAAACATTCTTTTTGTATATATATATAAGAGTTCAAGGAAAAGAGGTCAGCACAGAATCAGCACAGAATTGGTAGACAATATCTCCTCCATTCTGTATTATTACTATATACTATACTTTGTATGTCTTTGTGTATGACATCTGTAGAGCATGCTATAAATTTGTACAGCCGTCAAGAAATAAAAGCATGTAATCAACTTAATACTATGCTGGGCCGTCGCCCGGCCAGGCACACCCGACCCAGTTTGGCAGAGGGGGGATCGCCTGGTGAAACCAGATGGGTCAACAGAGGCAAGGATCCCCCCCCGAAAAAACGAATTCAAGGTCAGGACTGCGCTTGGCCTAAGCAGTCAGAATCCGGTCTTAACTTCGATTTGGTGATACTATTAATTCATCCAGGGGGGTTGAGAGGGTTTAAAAGGGTAAATTTTGAACTCATGTTTTCTCATTTCTGCAAGGAAAATGAGCGATAGCGAATTCCAGAAAACCAAGCAGCATCATACACATGAAACCAGATAGTCGTGACCTCGAACCAAAAGCAGAATTGCAACTCGAGTTCCACCAAATAAGAGCACAGCAAAAGCTCACAAGTGACAATGTTGGAATAGTCTCATCATCATCAACGAAGAACCAATGTCGACTTCCTATCTGGCGGTCTGCGCCCAGACTACAAATGGCAGATCCTATCTAGCCTATCTACAATGTCGCTGGTGATGTCAACAGCTCCCCAAAGTACGAGCAGATCTCGGCCAATGCCATTCGCCTCAAGCACCAGGTATGTCTCTCTCATCACGCACAACCTCGATCCCCCACACAGATGCCACGTGCACCCAAGGACCACCATGCGCCCCATCCAGCACCTTGCAGGCCAGCTCGGCTATGGCTGCCTGCGTATCCCTTTCTTGCCCGTGAGCGGGTGGGCGCTTGCCTGCCAGTAGCGCACTATGTAGCAAGTTCCCGAATGCCAAATGCGGGGGCATGCACTTTCCTTAATGGAAGTGGCCTGCCCGCTGCGTGCAGCCTGTGTCTGGCCCATGTTGTGTCTCTGGCCCAGGGCCTGCCTCAGATACATCTGAAAAAGGCAGCCAGGGCCTGGGGCACTTTCAACCAACTGGCGCTGCGCAACTGCCTGAATTTTCCCAGTTGCGTGGTTTAGGCCTCTCGTCCTTGGTCGGGCCTGCCTTCACTTAGGGCGGCCGACATTGCTGGACACAGGGCCCAGTAGGGCTCGTCGAGGCCTTGTGCCTCGCATTCCCTCCTCCATACTTCGAGAGTCCTTTGAGACTTCGAGAGTCCTCTTAGAAGTTCCATCATTCAATCTGGCACTTTCCTTTCTGCAGAGACTTCTCATACTGGGTGGCAACCTGCAGAGCGGTCTCCATCAGTTCCTCCGTTGTAAACCATCGGTCCTCCTTTGGATCAGTATGATGTCTGAACCGAACACGATACAGCAGTTTTGGCTTCGGGGGATGTCCCCTTCCTGTTGGTCTTGGAACTGGCGACTCTCTATGATCCACGATGTCGTCGTTGTCGTTCTCTCCATCCATGGTTGGGGGGAGCATTGAGGGACTAGAGTGAAACTGATCAGTTTCTCTGAATGGTGCGAGCTTGGAGGCGTGAAAGACAGGGTAAGTGCGAAGGTGATGAGGGATCTGTATTACATATGATGGCCCGTCCGGATCATTCCCAACAACATCTAGAACCTCCCAGTGTCCAAAGTACTGTGGCATGAGCTTCCGGGAGATACCGTGCTCCTGGCGCAATTCAGAGGACTTAACCCAAACTCTATCTCCTACCTGAAATGTCGATAAACGGCGGTGTTTGTTCTCAGATTCTATCATTACCGCCTGTGCTTTGTGCATCTGTTCCACCGCTTGCTGCATTAATTGCTCATATCGTTAGGCGAATTCTAATGTGCCAGGTGCAGCGTTTCAGCGCATCAGAGAGCGCTGGCTGGGTTCTCATCCACTTCAGGGTCTGATGATCAGTCCTGACGTAGAAGAACCTCCCAAGGAGGTAGTGCCTCCAGTGGGTTAGCGCTTTATAGATGCATGAGAGGGCATCTTTTTGGACATGTACTCGACTGGCCTCAACTTTGGCCCCTCCTGCTGCGCAAGCATGGCACCAATGCCATATTGGCTGGCATCCGTGGTTACTATGAATGGCTTGTCAGGATCAGGAAGTTTCAAGACCTCATGGTGTGTCAAGGAGTGCTTCAGATGTCTGAAAGCAGCCTCACACCTGTCTATCCACTCCCAAGGGGTGTCAAGGCGTGTCAGGTCCGTCAAAGGTGTGGCCACTATGCTATAGTTCTTCACAAAATTGCGGTAGTAGTCGGTCATCCCTAAGAAGGACCTCATCTCAGTCACAGATTGAGGATGCGGTCAATCACGAATGTTGGCCACCTTCTCGTCATCGGGCTTCAATTCCTCTGCGGAAATCCCATGACCCAGATACAAAATCCGGGTGTGTCCAAACTCACACTTCTCCCGATTGATCTTGAACTGGTGTTGCCGAAGGAGGCTAAGGACTAAATGGCCAACATGCTCCTTGACTGTCCTACTAAAGATAAGTATGTCATCGAGGTACACGATGACAAACTTGTCCAAGTAGTCATGAAAGATCCGGTTCATGGCATGCTGAAAGGTGCCAGGAGCATTGCAAAGGACGAAAGGCATCACCACAAACTCATACAGACCGTACCTGGTCTGAAAAGCGGTTTTGTGTTGATCCTCGAGCCGTATTGCAATCTGATGGTACCCGAACTTCAGATCTATCTTACTGAAGTACCGACACCCTTGCACTCGGTCCAACAAGTCATCGATGCGCGATAGGGGCTCTGCTTTTTTCACAGTGATGGCATTGAGGCCCCTATAGTCAATGCACATCCTCGAGGTCCCCCCCTTCTTTGGCACGAATAAGACAGGAGATCCGTAAGGGGAGACACTCGGCCGGATCCAACCCTTCTCTATGAGTTCCTTGAGTTGTTGGCGAAGCTCATCAAGCGCAGCTGGAGACATTTGATAGATCCTACCCTTCAGAATACTAGACCCTGGGATAATCTCTATCGTGTGGACGACCTCCCTCTCAACAACCCCTTTCGGCTCTTCAAATAGATCAGGGTACTTAGTGACCACTCCCTTTATCTCTGGAGACATTTTCACTGGCTCGCCCTCTGCAAAGACATAAACTAAGCACATACCCTCCTCCGGATTTTGCTTATAATAATTATAAAACGCGGTCGCACACATGCATCCGAAGGACTCGATCGGACTACCAGCTTTGCACTTCTTCTTGTTAGAGCCTTCCGTAATTAACTCCAGGTAACCTAACGGTCGCCCACATACTTGCTCCATTGGCGCGCATATATTGAAGTAGCCAGCCTCCTTGAACATCTCTCATAATATGTTCTATACTTTAGAAAGCTAAATCTACATAAGGCGTATAATGCATTGCTAAAAAATTGCCTGTAATTATCTGGACTACCAAACAAATACCAGCAAGCGATCCAAAACCCCAACAATAGCTGAGATTGCTATGTGCCAGGACATTGAGGAAACCAGGCCACGAAGTGGCAACAACATCAGAAGCGCACTTCGTACGCAATTCAACCCAGAGAGCATACGGTGGAACCGGTGAACCATTCGAATCTCTTTTCGAATGGGGCAGAGGCCTCGTAGTACCTACCACTTTCGCAATCTGGCAGTCCCCCCTCCGGGCGAAGTGTGTTTGACCAATTTTCGGTCCCAATCAAACTGGGGTTGTGCAACCGAAAGATAGTACATACCCAACAAGATGTCCATAGGGAGATCATCGCTGACTAGGAACGAGACTGGATGTCTCAGTTCCCCTCCCGCGTACGGGAAACGACACTCTATGTCTTTGAGGTAGTCTGTGACTACTACGCGTTGTTTGTTTGCACAGGTCAACTGCACAGGTCCGCTCAGGCGCTGCACTTGCCCCTGTAAGTGCAGCCTCTCAACGCACGCACAACTGATAAAGTTCCTCGTTGAGCAAGCATCGTAAAAGGCCCTGGCCTTGTGGCCGCCTATATCTACCTCGCCGACAAACAACTCAACCTTAGGAGCCTTAGCCATGGCCGTCCAAGAAGGTAGCGGGTCCGATCTAGACCACTCCTCTTCTAGCTCCTCTAAGGACTCAAACACATTCATCGAACAAAGGATCGATTGTTCCGAATGTGTTTGCGGGACGATAACAGAGTCAGTAGCTTGGCCCATCTCTCGAGATGGTGAGGGTGTGTCTACCACCTCGACCCTAGCAGGAACAACTACTATTCCTACTGGCCTGACGTGTTTCTCGAAGCAGTGCCAGAACTGGTGGCGACATTGCTACCCAGGGAAGCGGAGGAGACCGACGCCTGCCCCATCGTAGGCGGGATCTTTTCCGTCACCTTTTTATTTCGACACGTGAATTGGTTATGGCCATATTGGTCACAATGGATACAAGCCTGCTGTGTGTAACGGTCTCTCCACACGTCCTCAGTAAGACCCGCTTTCTCCCATGGAGGAGCATTGGGATCTACTTGACTCCTGGACCGGGAGCCTTCGCGGCGTCTACCGATCCCCTTACCTTTTTGTTGTACAGTAGCAGCGACTACTCCACCCCCTGAAGCTTCTGCGTTGCCTACCTCTGACCCTACTCCCTCCTGGAAGTCATCGTCTAGCTCTATGGTTGAACCATCGTTATCGACGAACATGATGCGACCCTTCACCTTCCAGTTGGGAGGCAGCGTCTTCTTCCTACCATCTGTTGTGGGTTGGTGCCCATGCCTGATCTTGGCCTCCAGATCTAGGCCTTTTTGCTAAACGAGGGGAAGTTGTGCACTGTGATATTTGCCTCACCCACCAGCTGGTTCCTGAGTTCTATGGGAAGACACCTCAGGTACGTGGTGAGTAAGACCTGGGGATCGTACCGTACTCCAGGTACACAGATTAGACGCTCAACAGCGTTCGTGGTTCCCCTTAATGACCCGAACTTCCTTGAGCTCAGGGTCAGGATCGCATCAGTGGCCTTTTGGGCCTCTTGCGGATCATGCCACCTTTCCTCCACCAGCTTGAGAAAGTCCTCCAATTTCTGGCTGACTGCCCAAGCGCGGAAGTCATGACCGTACCCCTGAAGTTGCACGTACCCGCTTAACCATCTTGCTGCACTCCCCTCCAGATAGGAGGTAGCCACAAGCTTTTCTTCGTGCGGCAAGGTCAACTTGCACTTTACATAGACTGGCACTGACCTCAACCATGTGTCAAGGTCCTCACCCCTCTTATCTCCTGAGAAGGGTTTAGGCGATGCAATGGCAGTCTTAGGAACCCATTGTCCTTGTCTCGGTGCCTGCACCATTCCAGGCTGTGGACCTTGAGGTGCAGGCTGTTGCACTAGCTGCTGCAGGGGCTGTGTACCCTGTGGCTGTGCCGGCTGTGAGACGACAAGCTGCCCAGTTACGGCAATCTGCAACGCAGGTTGGGATAACACTGTTTGGACAGGACTCTGTACATAGGACATGTTGCTAACCCGCCTGTCAAAGGCATACCTAATAGGGAAGTGGCCTGCACCGAAGTTGGAGATACTGTGAATGGGGATACTCCAGTCACTGGTGGGACAAAAGGAGGAGGCCGAACCATGGGCCAGGCACCGGGCCGTGATGGTGATGGTGCTACCTGAACTCGCCGACCAGCACGGCCAGGCTCTGTTGAATGTCCTGCAAAAGCGACGTGTGGTAGTCTTGCATCTCTACTACATCTAACAGGATTGTCCTCACGGTCCTCGCATCATCATCCACATTGGTCAGGTCCATTTCCTCAAACTCTCTAATGTCCGCTTGTCGCCACTGGATCCTAGACCTTCTGCTCATCCTCTCTTTCTCTACATGTATCTCATCTAATGCCTTCTGCAGTTGTGCCTCTTGAGCACTCGCTCTCTGTATGGCGACCTCCTCGGGATTTAACACCAACTATTGGCTTGCCATAACGCCAGCGGACTGACTCAGGGTCTGTGCGGCCGTTGTCCCTACGGCTCCTGAACTACTGGCCTGGGAACTTTGTTGCGCTGTGGTGGCCATGGCTGCTGAAGTAGCTGCCTCGCTTGCGAAGGCTCTGCTTGCCTCTGCGGATCCCTCCGCTGCTGCTGCTGCCTCTCCCTACGCTATCGGAACAGAATACGGTCCCCCTCTGGTCCCAATGCTACGTGGACCAACGGGCGCCTTGCCAATAGCAGGATCCTATCGTTCGGCTCAGGATTCTCCCAGTCGCTCATAAGCTACAGAACTGTGCAGTGTCTGCATTAGGACAGACGAAGTTGCCTACCGCAGAGTAATGCTCAGACTGATTAAACGGTGGCAATGTCAGAGTATACAGATTTGGGTCCAACAGGTAAGTCCAGATTCCTACAAATGTGTAGAAAACAGTTCTACCTATGCTGTCTGTCAAATGTTAATGGTTGTACATCTAACTAATCAAAATAAAAATAGAATCATTTGATTGGTTGTTGGCAGAGTGGAATTGTTCCCAAACTTATCACCTGAAACTACCCCTCCCTCAGTTTGTCCTGATTGTCACTTGACATTAGTGTCCCTAAGCAATCCAGATAACGTGCGTGTCTAAAGGTGTGCACACGGGCCTCCCCTGTACCCGGAGTCAATGCTGAGCTGGCCAGCCTTGCACCATATTTACCCTCGCGTGCAGCGAGCCTTACACCGACCGATAGGCTGATCAAGAGGCGTTTAAGGACGGCCTCTGAAGTCCTCAGGAATTATTTAACGTCTCAGACAGGACGACGATTACAGCCAATGGAAGGTAACCCCGCCGGTACTTATTTATAGACGTCCGGTACTCGTCTCTCCTCTAGAACTGACCTGCCCTTCATAACCCATCTATAGCATAGCAGGCAGACAAAGTACAAAGCAGCAAAGCATGCGTGCTCTACTCCCGGTGGGTTGGCATGGTGACCGTGACCCATTGCTTCGTCTAGGGCCCTTCAGATAGCTCCGCCCTCTCCTTCTAGACGCACCACGTGAACAATGCCGACTCTCAAGGTTGACCGCACTTGACTCCTCACATGAGAGGACTCTCAAGACAAAAAACACATCCTTACGGTGAGAAGTTTCGAAGTGGGTAGATAAGATTAAGAGCAACGTACCTCAAAATAGCTGCCCCCAACCACAAATATTCTCACCAGACGACCTGACGCCAATTGTGATGACCAATCATTGCTTTGACACAACTAGCAATCGCACATCAGATAGTTCTCATCACACTGCGAACACTCAGATACCACCTCATAGCCTTCCTGGCGATACCCCTCTCCACATGGGTCGCCTACTTGCCTTCGCCCTCCTCACTACACACTCCCTACGGCCGCTCACCCAGCAGACCGCATGCATGTACCGCATAGGCCGAAGACAAGCACCAAATTAGCGCAACGTACCACAACTCCGATACCAAAATGCAAGGAAAATGAGTGATAGCGAATTCCAGAAAACCAAGCAGCATCATATACATTAAACCAGATAGTCGTGACCTCGAACCAAAAGTAGAATTGCAACTCGAGTTCCACCAAATAAGAGCACAGCAAAAGCTCACACGTGACAATGTTGGAATAGTCTCACCATCATCAATAAAGAACCAATGCCGACTTCCTATCTGGCGCTCTGCGCCCAGACTACAAATGACAGATCCTATCTAGCCTATCTACAATGTCGCTGGTGACGTCAACAGCTCCTCGAAGTACGAGCAGATCTCGACCAATGTCGTTCGCCTCAAGCACCAGGTATGTCTCTCGCATCACTCACAACCTCGATCCCCCACATAGATGACACGTGCACCCAAGGACCAGCATGCACCCCATCCAGCACCTTGCAGGCCAGCTCGGTTATGGCTGCCTGCGTATCCCTTGCTCGCCCGTGAGCGCGTGGGCGCTTGCCTGCCAGTGGCGCAGCATGTAGCAAGTGCCCGAATGCCAAATGCGGGGGCAGGCACTTTCCTATATGGGGGTGGCCTGCCCGCTGCTTGCGGCCTGGTTGTGTTGGGCCCCTGCCCAGAAGCTTTCGGTAGGCCCCAAGTGGTTGAGCCTCGGTCCAAGGAATCAGGCCCAGGGCCTAGAGCGGTTACCCGTGTTCAACTGCCCGTAGCATATATTTGGCCCATGTTGTGTCTCTGGCCCAGGGCCTGCCTCAAATACATCTTAAAAGGCAGCCAGGGCCTGGGGCGCTTTCAACCAACTGGCGTTGCCCAATTGCCTGAGTTTTCCCATGTTGTTTGTATTACAATTTTACACTACATTTTTTTCCAGATTTTCCTGGTTTTCCCCCCCCACTATTATGAGTTGGGATTGTCCGGGACCCTGCCCGGACCCTGCCTCCCCGGGGGCGCCCGGGAGGGTACCCGGGTGACC